AGTGTTAGAATGCTCAAAACCCAACACCTACTGGAAGAGGACTCACCTCGCACTGCTGAAGTCTTGTAGACATAACCATAGCTGCTGGATGACAGATTCCCGATCTGTCAATATCAAAATAACACCCAATTAATCATTGGGTTCCAACTCATAACCATAAGTCCAAACTTGGGTAAAAGACTACTTTACCCCTATCTTATCTTGACTCAAGCCCAATGCCCAATCCAAAGGGCCAAAAGTCTAATAATGAACCAAAGCCCAACTATGGCCCAATTTTCTAAATTGGGCCCAACCTCCACAAATCATTCATTCTTGGTCCAACACTTGCCATTCTCATGGTCCAACATCTCATAATCATCAAGGCCCAAACTATGGCCTTTCTATGGCCCAATTTTCCAAATTGGGCCCAAACCCTCACATTGGTCTTACCCTAGGCCCATTAAATTATTCTAGCCTAATTGTTTGTTCTTGGATGGCCCATTATCATCCCAATCATCAAAGTCCAATAGAAAGACCAACTCAAGGTCTAAGTGAAACTAGGGTTTCACATAAAATGACAATTAGGGTTAAGTGTTTCTCACTTAACCCTTTAAGGACTTAATCCATTAAGTCCATCTCTCTACTAGATAAATCATATGGTGTAGTTGGGCTTAATACACAATCTAATCCCCAAGGCGCAAAGTGGGTCCAAATAAGTCTATGGCCCAATTACTCACAATTAGGGTTTTCTAAACCCTAATTAGGGTTTCCACCCAAACATGGCCCAATAGGCCCAAAATTAATCTTTAAGCCCATTAGGGTTTTGCTAGTGGGGAACCACCCACTACCACCTCGGGTAGTGGCGGTCCATGACGGCTCGCGGCGGCGGCCACCACCTTACGGTGGTGGTTATTATTATTTTTATTATTAATCAAAGCTAATTACAATTACAATGCTTTAATCCAAAATAACCACCCACACTAACTATCATGAACACTCACACACACACACGCACAACCACCCTAGTAGTGGCCAGCGGCGGCACATGGCGGCAGCAAGCGGCGGAACGGCGGCACGCGGCGTTGATGGATTTTTCCTTCCAGTTCCTGTCCAAAGAAGACCTACACATCAGTAACCTTGTGAAAATGAGCATACACATAACCAATCACACACACAGCCACCCTCGCATGGTGGCTGGTGGTGGCAGAAAGAACGACGTGGCGGCAGAAAGCGATGACAGGGGGCGGAAGCCACCATGGTTGGCTGCCATGGTGGTTGCTTGCGATTTCCGGCAGCTTATTCACACACACACTCGAATGGATGCAGTCATTCGCCACTCTAAGTTGAGTATGCATCAAACACACACAGTGACACACACTTCGCCGCCACCCTTACAGTGGCAGATGGCAGCCGAAGGACTCAACGAAAGGAAACTGACCGGAGAAAGGATGGCGACGGGGCTCTAGAAAATGACGAGAGAGAAGAGGAGAATGCATTACCGGCGAAATAGATGCAGCAGCGACACGAGTTCACCGGTCTTCACAGCCCCCGACGGTGGTAGCGCACGAGGTTTGGCTCCGAGTTCCGGCCTCTCCCTTCATCTCCGGCAGCAAATCATGCGGTGGCGGTGCTCAACGGCGTGGCAGCCGCGACCCTATCTGATCGGAATAGAGAACCATGGAGAGGTGGTGGCGGCTACTTCCCTCATGGCTGCTGGAACTTTAGGTTTAGGGTTTGACATGGTGAGGGTGGCGGGTTATATCCCCGACCACTTTAAATCTTTCGCATAATTACAACTATGGTCCCTCCAGCTCCAATTTAATTCGAGTTAGATCAATATTTTACCTTTTTAACCCATGTCATCTAAAATCTTTACAATTCAACTCTATATGTTACCATTTAGGCCCTAATCCTCCAAAATATCTTCAAATGAAGTCCCATAAATTACAAAACGCACCCTGACTTCTGTAATTATGACTTTTAACTCCTCGAAACTAATGCCTCGCTCAATTATTATTCATTTTAGGGCTTCTATACATTTATTTATTTTATTTTATAAACGGGGTGTTACAGTTGATGAGGATCTAAGTTAAGTGTATGTGTTTAAAACATTTTATTTTCTAAAGTATTTTTCTACATGATACCATAAAACATGTCGTTTGCATGAAAACGACATGTTCATCTACACTTCAATATACATGTTTATTTTAGCATTACTTAAAACATTTCGAATCCACTAATTATAGAATTCACCCTTTTTCATACAGGAAATAATTTGTTGATCATTATCGGAGGGTCCATTTATGATCTTCTCACTAACAAATTGGTCAAATGTTGTTAGAGCTCTTTCACACATTTTTTTTATCACATGTCTTCATACTTTTAAGTTATAAATTTTCATCTTCAAATTCCATTTTTTAGTTACATACGTTTAGTGAAATTATTTTTTTTGTTTAACATATCAACCTACTTTGTTTTATATTTATATAGTAACAATAAAATTTATAGATTTACACAATAATATACATATTTCGAATTTTGTCATAGTATTAAACTTTACAAAATACAATTCCCTCCAAAATAATTTTCGTCAGTAATTTCATCCATAATTTCACCCAATTTAAATTTGTATTTTCTTTATATAAATTTTTTTAATGATCCCGATTTTTTCCCTCCAAAAGTATATCAAACATTTATGTCTTAGATAATGTTGCCCCATTATAATTATTACATACCAAAATATATCCGTTTAATGAAGAATTTAATTTAATGAAGGAAGTAAATTTTAATTCAAACAAGATATATATTCCATAATTATTACAAGAGTTTATTAAAAAAAATATCAAGATATAAACATTAAGCATTTTTAAAATGAAATTTCATAATAGATACAAACGATGATGTTGTACAATGAAATATAAAATTGAATAAACTGAAAAAAATAACTATTAAGACTGTCAATCTTGAAAATAATATAGTTATGAAAAAAATATAAAGTAAGTTAAAAATTATAAGATATTAGGAGATTTGTAAGTACAATTCGTAAAAACGTTATGGTTATTAAAAAAAATAAGATTGTTAAGATTAGTAAAAAATGCAATATATTAACTAAATTATCACAATAGTAATGAAATTTCATTATTTGATATTTCATATAATTGAAAGATATATCAAATTACATTGATGATATATTAAAATTATTCAAAAGTTGCGCCAAGACTAATGCAAAGTTCTTGCGAAACACCAAATAAATAAGAACAAACATAAAAGTTAGCACTTATATTCATAATCAATTTAAAATAAACCAATCATGATTTAGAAAAAAAATTTCATTGATGGTATACTAAAATTAAATTCTTATAACATTTAATATTCCATAAATTATACTCTATGACTTTATTTGAATAAATGAAATAGTTGTCAATATTTAATACAGTGAAAAAAATGGTATATTGGTTGTCAATATAGTCTTAAATTAAGTAATCTTCTTATGGAATGAACGTCTAATTACAATACTTATGCTTATATAACAATATCATAACCATATGTGACAGAGGAAGGTCATTCAACTCATAAAACGAAAGTATACAACGAGGTCCTTCAACGATTATAAATATTTATCGATTTCAATGTATCTTCTACACATTTCAATAATACCAATAACCATAATTTTTTTTATAATTATTATGCAATATCTGTAGACATTTGTATGTTTTTATGCGTTCCCCGCGTTTAACGCGGGTTATAATCTAGTTTATGTTAAACAGTAATATAATCATAAACCCACATATGTACAACTTGGTTAGCTAACAAAATAACCAGATCGAAAAGATTAGCAACAATACAATTAAAAAATATATTTTTAACACCAATGAACAAATGTAATTTGAATATTTTACTCCATATTTATTTTAATTAATCTTGAACTTCAAAATTAATTATTTCTAATTTAATTAAATTTAAAATTCCCTAACAATCGGGGGTGTTAAAGTAAATCAGAGGGAAAAAAATATGGTTATTGACAAAATAGAGATCTCCACTTCGTTATTTTGTTAAACTATGTTACATATAAACCATCACACATGAACCATGTGAAGGTTTTGAAAGGCCGAACATACATGAATGTGTTCTAGAATGTAATTCACTTTGTTACTTTGTTCCTTTCTACTTTTACTATCTAGACTACACAAGTCTCAACCCACCCAATGAAATGAATGCACATGATACTGATTTAAAAACTCAAACTTCTTTGTGAAAACATTAATAAAATTAAATTATTTTTTCTCAAAGCATGGAAATATATATATATATATATATATAGATATATTATATATATATATATATATATATATATAATAGATATATAATATATATAGTTTTGAAAGGCCGAACATACATGAATGTGTTCTAGAATGTAATTTACCACTTTGTTACTTTGTTACTTTGTTCGTTCCTACTTCATTATCTAAACTACACAAGTCTCAACCCACCCAATGAAATGAATGCACATGATACTGATTTAAAAACTCAAACTTCATTGTGAAAATATTAATAAAATAAAATTATTTTTTCTCAAAGCACGGAATATATATATATATATATAATATATATATATATATATATATATATATATATATATATATATATATATAGTTTTGAAAGGCCGAACATACATGAATGTGTTCTAGAATGTAATTTACCACTTTGTTCCTTCCTACTTCATTATCTAGACTACACAAGTCTCAACCCACCTAATGAAATGCATGCACATGATACTGATTTAAAAACTCAAACTTCATTGTGAAAATATTAATAAAATAAAATTATTTTTTCTCAAAAGCACGGAATATATATATATATATATATATATATATATATATATATATATATATATATATATATATGTTTTTCTATCTCTTTTGGATGTGGGGGTATCTGTAGGGCCTTACACTCACAGGCTCACTACCAGGTATATATATATATATATATATATATATATATATATATATATATATAATCAAATGAGAACACCTAAAAGGTTGAAAACGCGAGAACAATTCTGAACCAATCAATATAAAATGGTATATTGGTAATTGTATATTTTAATTAAATCAAAATAAAAGGTTCACAGTTGCAGCGCAACGACGGTTCACAGCAGCAACACCCGACACAGTGCGGGTTATTCCGACTCCTATGGCGGCTAGGAGGCTGACGGATACACCGGCGGTTGGCAGCAGGCGACGTCTAGCAGAAGAGGAGAAGGAGGATTGGCGGCAACGACTTAGACTAGAGACGGCAGTTGATCGGAGCTTCCACAGGTTGGAGGACGAGAGAAAGTCTGGTGGTGGCGGCTGAAAGGTTCGAGTATAGCGGCTGCCTCATCGTTTTGGATTAGGGTTTTGGTAGCGATGCTTTAAACGGGAAGGAAGGAGTCATCGGGTTTAAATCCCGCTCCACTCAAAACTTTGCTCATTATACAAGTTTAGTCCCTCCCCATAGGATCCTTTTCCAATCAAATCCTATATTTACCCATTAAACCCCAACATTAAAAATCCATTACAACTTAGGTACGAAATGTACCAAACAGCCCCCTATCCCCATAATCTCTTCAATTGAAGTCCCATAAATTCTCAATAATTACCACGGAGCCCCTGTCTTCATAAATATTTATAAAATGAGTCCCAAACTCACACTTTTAACCCCCGACTTCTAAAAATATGGCAATTAACTCCTCGAACCTAACACCTTGCATATATAATTATTTATTATAGGGCTATTATTCATTCATTAATTTGTTTATTTATTTAATAAATAAACAGGGTGCTACAACTCTCCCCCACTTAAATTAGATTTCGTCCTCGAAATCATTCCTTACCATCCCTTACTCGCCCAACTACTCAAGTAGCATGGTCACCAACCTGGGCACACCCTAGCCTTCCTAGGGTAGCCATGACCAATCCTCGTAAAGCCCTAAAATCCACAGGTGAACGAATTCCTCGCCACCAGATATCGTCTACTCCGTCTGAAGTCTGTTGTCTCGAGATGCTCTGAATCCCTAACAGACCACTCATACTGAATCATTATCGTTGAATCTAGCCTGTTTATCCCTCAACTGACTACTCATCTTTCAATAATTCGAGGTTTCCACTATAATTCAGGGTCACAAGCCCAATTATCTCTGCATGTCAATTATACTTGGCCAAGGCTCAGCTAATCCCGCTGCGAGTGACTTGTCAATTCCCAAGCAACCAGCTATTCCGTTCGTATTTGCAACCCAAAACACAAATACTAATACCGCCCAAAAGCTAAAACTGCTTGAACACTGAACTGCCTGAAGCAGTAAGATGCTACATAGCTGCTTCCCAAAATCTATCGATACCTTCCCGGTCTCAATTCATCCATCAGTCATTTGAAATATCGGGTTTCTGCCCGGCTGCGGAGCCAATGGACTCTCACTTAGTCGTCTCGCACGACTTCCGAACAGGATCCTTCTCTGAAACCAGTTGCGACTAGTTATCATGCCACTGTGGCTCTAACAACCTCCTGATCTAACCGATCGGGTCCATGCGTCGAATCCTAACGTCACCACATCCAATGCTAAAAGTGATTGCTACCCGACCAATGGTAGCCTAATGTCACAACGACCTTAAGCAGTCTATTGCTTCCCTGATCTCATAACTGTAGTGACGTCCCTACAGTCTCATTACTGGCTTAACCAGATCTAATCCATTTAGGTAAATCCGAAATCCAATCCGTGGATTTCCATATCCTCAACGTTGCACCCAAACTGTTGCGTACTACTGTTCTTTCCGCATCCTAACAACGTGCTCATGCTATCTGCCAACCAAGTGAAGGCTGCGGCTACACTCACAAACTTACAACACTCAAGCACTATCTGTCAACCTCATAAATGCTACGACTACCCCCGCCGTCTTACAACACTTCCAATACTATATGATTGCTAGTGAATGCTACGGCTACCCCCGCAGTCTCACGACACTCTATCACTATCTGACCGCTAGTGAATGCTACGGCTACCCCCGCAGTCTTACAAAACTTCCCATGCTAACTGACCACTAGTGAATGCTACGGCTACCCCTGTAGTCTTACAACACTTTCCAAACTATCTGACTGCTAGTGAATGCTACGGCTACCCCCGTAGTCTTACAACACTTTCCAAACTATCTGACTACTAGTGAATGCTACAGCTACCCCCGTAGTCTTACAACACTTTCCAAACTATCTGACTGCTAGTGAATGCTACGGCTACCCCCATAGCCTTTCAACACTTTCCAAATTGGGTCGAACACGCACTCGACCTAACACACAACTGAACTTGAGTCCTAACCGGAACTCTAACCTAGTTTCCGAAACCTGCTATCACGTGACCCCATTGTATCAGTACCGTACACATGCCCGTGATCAAAGCGTCACAACAAACCACGAAATCCTCTACACCCTCTGGCAGGGTGAGAATCGGTGCCTCGCACAACCGATGTATGAGAGTCTCGAAGGCTGCTTGCTGCTTAGCCCCCCCCCCCCCCCCCCCCCCAACGAAAGGGCCATCGACTTCTTGGTCAGTCGGGTCAAAGGAACATCAATCTCGGAGAAGTCCCGTATAAATCTCCGGTAATAACCCGCTAGACCCAGGAAATTTCGAATCTCAGATGGAGACCTCGGAATCTCCCACTGCATCACGACCTCTATCTTGGCCGAAAGAGCTAGAATACCCTTCTGGTTGACAAGGTGGCCAAGAGATTGCACCTTGCGCAACCAGAACTCACAGTTGGAGAACTTTATGAAAAGTCTCTCCCCCACTTATATTCGACTAAGTCTTCACATTACATGAGAATTGAAGGATTCCCAATCCTCCTCGCTTTCTAATATCCCAATGATGACATCCTGTGCCTGCCAATGCTAGCGTTTAATCGCCGATTATACCTTGAGATCTCCCATCCTCGGAAATCTCGATGAGTACTCTTGAAATCTGATCCAGTCTGACACCTCAATCCATCTAACATGCTGTCGATTGAAGACCATAATCTTCACTCTAGCTGACGAATCCTCGTTCCCACTCCCAATCTTGCAGTACCACTGAACTCTAACCGAACACAGCCCATGCGAAAACACAATTCTCTTGAACATCTAGTGACCAACCACTTATGCATCTAACACCCGCGACTGACACTACCCTCTTCCTGTCACCAGTTCTGTCCTAGCAACGGTAGTGCCTTGAACTCCAAAGTTCATCCATAAACAATTACCGACCATACCTAAACAATGATAGAACCTATGAACGCTGACTTCATTGGAGAACAATCACTCCAACCCTGATCGAGTATCCTCTAAATAATACTCATGCATAGATCCCGACAAAGATCCGAAATGATAACGGTATGCGCGGAACCCACTCCGCAAGATGCGTCCCTCTTTGGGTTCATCAAGGACCTTTCGGCATGCATGATCCTTGATAACCCAAACACTAGCAGAAAACCGACTCGAGATCCGACTTATCCAAACTTGCTCACAATTCCAAAGCGATACGTATTCCCAACATCCATCTAGTAGCAGTAAAAGATGACATACTCACAACATCTGGAGGAATCCTAGTCACCTCCAGCTGACATGATCAATCCTGCTACCCTGTAGCAGCGTAAACCCTTGGAGTGACAAACTCCCTCGTGTACTTTCTCGTACGCGCTGCACTGACTCAGGCCCTGCTGGCCTTTCACCCGATGATCAGAAGTCATGGGTCTCTTCCCGGGATCCTCTACTATACCCACCTAGCACAACCCTCTCTTTCTAGGGTGCTCCAAATCGATCTCGCATCTGCAACTTCTTGGAAATCATATCCTTCAGGGTCTGACACCCTGTCACGCTCACTATCTCGCTTGCCAATGGCTAAGCTGCAACAACTGGAGCATCCTCTGTCCCCAAACTGGGTCACGAACTCTTCCCTGAAGCTTCTTAGATTCTCCAAGACTCTCACTGATTCGAGTACAGATCCTGTGCTTTCAGTAGTACGGGCCCAATACTACCTTCCACACCTATCCATACTTTCCTCAGCAATCCTCCCGAATCCTCTAAGTTACTTCCTCAAACTGGTACACCTAAGTCTCACTGAGCCTCACTACTAACCCACTGAAACGTATCCTAGGCTTTCCTAGGTTCCCGAACTCACCCAGTCCTCAGCTGCTGAAAGATTCCCAGTAATGTCAACTAGCTACCTCATGAATATAGCCACATGCAACAGAGATCAGATAATCCTTCGAGTAATAGACCTATCCCTAGAACATTTGGACTCAGACAAGAGCTGCATAATAGGGTCAAGTCTCTCACTCTGAGATTATCCGGCCTGTGTCTCATGTGACTTAGCATATTCACTTAATAGTTAGCTCACATTACTAAGAGTCCCACAAATCACAAAGCAAGCAGCATTCAGACAATGGAAAATCTAACCATCATATTCCAATCAAATCATTCTATCCTCTAATCAGGAATCTGTACATGCAATTCAAAGGCTCATACAATCAGGCATAACCTAAACAGGCTATCCTATCACTGACTGATCAGTACTAGCATGCAAGTCTACAAGCACATACAATAGGCATATAAGGCATCCTTCCTAGATCCTTAGCCCTAATCTAGCATGCAGTTCTCATAATCATATCATAACATGTATGGGTATCTTGGGGAAAACTTACTTGAGCTCGGCTGATTGCACGCATCACACACCTTGTTCTTTTCAAACTTCCTTTTTCTCTTTTCAAATCTTTTCAAATTTCTTTTTATAAAATCATTTTACTTTTGAAAATTTTCATACCAAGTCCTTAGTTTGAGTTCAGACACACCCGAGAGTGTGCCCGAATCCCTTAAACCAAGACTCTGATACCAACTTGTAAAATCCCAAAAATACAGGCCAAAAATTTCATTTTTAAATACATTATTATAAAACCAACAGTATAAGAAAACATGCATAATATCATGTCGCGTCAAAACCCAAGTAGAAATAATCAAACATGTTATCATAAAACAATATCAGAGTGTAATCCCAAAGATCTCGTGTGTGGAAAACCATAGTGTGATGCGCTACGATCAAGCCGGCTCCTTTCCTTTGAAAACGAGTACCTGAAACCAAAACTGTAAACCGTAAGCACAAAGCTTAGTGAGTTCCCCCCATCATACCACATACCATACAATCATATAGCATACATATTGCCGGGCAATTATGGGGTGCCTGACCTACCCGATAGGGCCATTCTGGGGTGCCGACCTACCCGTGTCAAGCCATTCTGGGGTGCTGACCTACCCATATCAAGCCATTCTGGGGTGCTGACCTACCCGTGTCAAGCCAT